AGAGCTCATCGATAACCCGGCATACATGGCCTGGCTCGACGAGAACCTCATCGTACTGTCGTGCATCAGGTTGCGGATTGGGGACACAGACCAACGGCTGATCGTCAACGATGAGATCGCAGCGACAGCTTGGGCAAAGCTCAAAGCCGCGCATCTTCCCTCTGGCGTGCTTTCCCAGGTTACCCTCCTGCAGCAGGCCCTAGCCATTCGCTTCACTCGTGAAACTCCACTGAAGAAAACCTCTGACGCATTGCAAGTTATCATTGACGCGTTCTTCGCGATCCGACCGCCCACGCAGGATGAATGGACATCTATCCTTTTCCTCAATGCCATGGAATCAGCAGAGTTTTCTAATGCTCGATCCTCGCTCGACACCCTGATGAGCGCAGGCACCCTCACCTCTGCGGCGGTTATCACACGGATAAAGCACGAGCAGATTCGCATTGATGCCGAGAATGCGCAAACAACAGCGAATGATGCATCGTTTGCAGCCTTCAGCAAACGTTACGAAGCAGAAGCGGGCACAGCTAGCACCGAGTACCGTAATGGAAAGGGTCCGTGTGGAAATCCGCAATGCATTGGGACGGCAAAACAGTACCATGATTGGGCACATTGTTGGGGGCCAGGTGGTCGTGCACAGCGTCCTGAGAGTCACAAAGCTCGAGGAAAGGGACGAGGTGGAAAGAAGAAGGAGAAAGAGAAGGCCAAGGCAGCAGTCGACAGCAGTGATGAGGATTCCACGCCGGAGCGCTCTTTCGTTGCTGTCGCTGGCAAAGCTGCCAAGGAGACCACATCAGTTGATTGGTCAGCTTTCATTCTCCCCGCCGATTTGCACAACGACCAGGCTATGATTGTCGACACGGTGCTGCAACTATGCATATACCTAGATACCGGCGCTACCAGCTCTATCTGTCCCGTTCTGAAATACTTTACCAAGATCGTACCGTGCCATCGCAAGGTCTCCGGAGTCGGAGGATCAGCAATTTATGCTGTCGGTATTGGCGAAATCAGAATCCGAATCGGAAAGAGTCGCCATTTCACCTTGAAGGATGTACTTTACTGCCCTCAGGCCTCAATCACCTTGGTTTCTGTTGGCAAACTGTGTGATGACGGTCATACTGCCGCATTTAGCAGTACCGGCTGTTCACTTCGACAGATCTCTGGGAAGCTCGTCGCAACCGGTACCAGGACCGGGACCAGTCTGTACACCCTTGATTGTGAGGCACCCATCTTTACCCTGGCTTCGTCCTCCCCATCCGATACCGACACATCCGTCCGTTCCCAAATTGCAAGTGCGGCTGCCGATACCATAGCAAACATTGCATATAAGGCTGCCGCAACCTTGAGGACTTGGCACCATCGTCTTCTTCACACAAATATTCCCACCGTCGTTGATATGGCCAGAGGAGATGCCGTTACCGGTATGGACATCGACCTATCGCACCTGCCTCCAAAATGTGCTGACTGCATTCTTGGAAAACAGAAAAAGAAACCTGTTCCAAAGAAGCGTAGAGGGCCAAGGTCGACGAGAAAGTTGCAGAAGGTCTTCGCAGATCTGGCGGGACCACAAGCAGTGGCAGCGCGCGGCGGATTCTTGTACACATTACAATTGATTGACGACTTTACACATCTGCAATGGACTATCCTTCTCAAGAACAAGAGTGATGCCGAAGAGAAATACAAGGAATGGGAGGCAGTTGTGGAAGCTGAATCCGGCGAGAAAGTCGGTGTACTCCGAGTGGATGGCGGAAGCGAATTTAATTCCGCAGGGTTCTGCAAATATCTACGAGAACACGGTACTCGGAAACAGACCTCAGCACCATATTCCTCCGCCCAAATGGGACTCATTGAGAGAACCCATCACACACTCATGAGTCGCACTGTTGCATCGTTGTCCTCCGCCAATCTTCCTGCAAATCTGTGGGGAGAAGTAACCCTTACCGGCACATATGTAAAGAACCGGACACTCACCAGTGCGCTGCGTAAACCCGACGTGACACCCATTGAGAAATGGACGGAGAAGAAGCCGGATCTATCCCACATGCGTGAGATAGGCTGTCGCGCATTTGTGCTTAAACTGCCAAAGAAAAGCAATCCCAAGATTTACAATCGATCCATTGAATGCGTGATGATTGGGTACTCACCATCAAACATCGGCGAATACCACTGCTACGACCGCAAGACTAAACGGATCCACCGGAGTCGCAATGTCGAGTTCATTGAGTCTCAAGATGAGCAGCTGCGCCCACTCACAGCAGCACAGGCAACAAAGAAACATCCTGCAGCTGAGATGTTACAGCAGGATGATCCCGTTGTTGTACCAGCTGCTCCTGCTGACGCCAATCCTCGACCAGCCGCTGATGTAGACGAGTCAGAGCCAGAAAGCGAGGAGGAGGAAGAAGAGCCCGCACCTGCGCCTTCTACGAGACCGGTGCGAACACGTAAGACACGCGGGGACGATGGTGCTTTCCCCGACGTGCGGAAAGATGCTGCCGTTGCGGAGGCACGATCCGCAGAGATGCGTGCCAAGGAGCGACGTGCTGAAGCGAAGGCACAGCGCACTACGATAGAGGAACTGCCTGAGCACGAAGCCGAGGCAGAGCGAGCCGCTCAACTGAATGAGGAGGAGTACGAATATTGGGGTTTTTCTGCAGTCGAAGATGAGCCAAAGACATGGAAGCAAGCACAAAACTCACCGTTTTCAGCGGAATGGCGTGAAGCGTACCAAGCAGAACTTGACTCCATCGAGCTGCATGGTGTCTACGAGCTTGTTCCTCCCGAATCTATTCCCTCTGGCAGAAAAATTATACGCTCCCGGCCTATTTTTAAAATCAAACGGGGAAGTGACGGGGAAATCCTCAAATTCAAGGCCCGTCTGGTCTCGATGGGCTACGCACAGATTCACGGACTGGACTACCGAGAGACGTATGCACCGACCTCTCGTTTTGAATCATTTCGAATGGTGCTGCATGCAGGAGCGACACTCGACTATGAGATCGACCATGTTGATGTGAAGACTGCTTTCCATAACGGTTTTCTTGAGGAGGAGGTCTGGCAGGAGCAGCCCAAGGGTTTCGAAGTACCAGGCAAGGAGAAGTGGGTGTGGAAGTTAAAGCGGGGGATGTACGGCCTGAAACAGGGCAGCCGATCATGGAACCGCCGACTCAATGCCGCGATGATCAGCATCGGTTTCCAACGCATTTCCGTGGAACACAGCCTATATTCTCGCAAACGCAACGGCCAGGTCTCCATAGTCGCCGTTCACGTCGATGATCTCTGTGTAGCGTCGAGTTCCAAAACCGAGATGTGTACCTTCAAGGAAGAACTGAAACAGCATTTCGAGATAACCGACCTTGGCCCGGTCAAATGGATCCTTGGCATTCGAGTTACACGAGACCGCACTGCGCGGACCATCTCGCTAGACCAACAAAGCTATGTCGAGAAAATGGCAGCCCGTTTTGGGCTTGAAAATGCACACCCTGTGCGGACACCAATGGTTTATGGTGAACCGCTGTCGCATACCATGTCACCTTCCACAGATAGCGCGAGGAATCGCATGGCTGGTGTACCATATCGTGAGCTTGTTGGCTCGCTGATGTACGCCAATGTCGCCACCCGTGCAGATATTGCACACTCCGTTGGAATTGTGAGCCAGTTTTGTCAAAATCCTGGTGAATTACACTGGCTGGCTGCGAAGAGGATCCTTCGCTACCTCATAGGGACGAAATCTTACGCTCTAGTCCTTGGAGGTTTGGGACCTATACGCCTCGCTGGATTCACCGACTCAAATTATGCTCCCGCTGGTGATCTTGACAAACGAAAATCTACTTCGGGTTATGCAATGTCTCTGGGAGGCGGAGTAATCTCATGGAGCTCTAAAAGACAGTCCACCGTTGCGACATCGAGTACCGAAGCAGAATACATGGCCTGCTGCCATGCCGCCAAAGAAGCTATCTGGCTCCGAATGCTCTTGCATGCTGTCGGCTATACTCAGCGGACAGCAACTGATATTCGCTGCGACAACCAGGGTGCTCTCATATTAACTGCTGATCCATCTTTCCATTCCCGCGCCAAACACATCGATGTTCAATATCACTTCTCGCGTGAACGGGTCGAATTGGGCGAATTGACCTTCACCTACGTCCACACGTCAGAAAACATGGCGGATATATTCACCAAATCCCTACCCGAGCCACTATTCAGAAAATTCCGAACAATGCTGGGCATTGTGGGATGAGTTGACTGAACGCGTTTAGCACGCTGAGGAGGAGTGTCAAGATGTGAAGATGCTACTTACTTACATCCTGCTACGCGTTCCACGCGTGGTCGTTCCCGACCACGTTCCGTCTCATCGATAGATGCCTCTCACTGGTTCATACTGAACTACGTGAGAGGTAAGCCACATTTACTTACGATTCACATTCCGTTTACTTATTTATTACCAGTATTGTACTGACTGCTGTCGTACAGGTAGATAATTAATTTACTGGTTCATACTGAACTACGTGAGAGTATTGTACTGACTGCTGTCGTACAGATCTCCACTGTTCACAGTATAACGAAGCACGGGCTCTCAAGCATTCAAAATTCAAAATTTCAACCGCTTTAACCAAGTCAACTGATACATGCTATGTCGTTGAAGTAAGCAAATCATGACAGGGAGAAAAAAACTGCGAACGTTATGAGAATCCAGACACGGGGACTCGAACCCCGGACTGCCTCTTCAATTCCACCTGTGCTTGGTTATGTTCATTGTCAGAGGCCGTGTTTCATTACACCATGTCTGAGATCTGAGCCTTTTCTATCCAACGACACCTGGATGTGGGGGAGTACTTCCGGCTCTTAAGCATGCAGAAGTCAAATTACAATTGCAACTAAAAACTCAACCACTAGCCACCTAGCGCTTCCTGCAAGCTAACTGGTACGCGCCGCGTGTTTGAAGTAAATAAACCGTTACAACAGAGACAAAGGAGAGAAAAAAGTACCTCGGGTACGATATATTCAGACACGGGGACTCGAACCCCGGGCTGCCGCTTCAATTTATCTGCACACTTCTATTGACAGAGGCCGTGTTTCATTACACCACGTCTGACTTATTCCTATCTGACTGCAACTCAATACACTAGAGATTCCTGTTTGCAAGTAGCAGCATCAGAATTGACCTGATATCTTCCCTGCGAGAAATTGGTCAAGAAAATTCAGCCACAGAGTATAGTATCGTAGGTACTTAATCTGAAACTCAACCAATACGGACCTCAATCCATATTATTCACCCGAAACCAAGAAGAAGAAAATCCTGGAGATAAAACACACTACTAGCCCTTTCTTTACCTTCGTGCTTTCCATTTTTAAGGTCAGGGAGTTTTGTGGAGTAACAAGCCCAGCTCATCGTCATGCTCAGTATCAAGAATGAGGAGAGATTCTACTCATTTAACGCATATTCTGCGGTGTTGTGTCCTGGGGAGGGCAGTTAGGGGCTAACGTCCAAATGCGGCAACTTCAGTTTCTCCATCTGGCAGCTTGCTCTGCTGATCCGAGTCACCACCAACTAGTGATGCCGCGAGCTGAGTCCGAGCGAGGTCGAGTTGATGGGCCATCAACCTCGATGCAGCTCGAGGTAAATCGAGGCGCTCGAAGATCACTGCCATAAAGGGAATCGGGTTTCCCACGCACCTGTATTGGTGTCGAGGAGCACAGTAGCACAATTATATTAACAAGTAATGTATGAAAAATGATTTAGAATGGGCTGAAATGACCCGTTAATTTCTTTCCAGCTTTGAAATGGCCAAGGAATTGACCAAAATGACTTTATTCTCGTCGAGTCAAATTCCTCTTTATTTGTCCATAGGTTGCCCATATTTCTGTGAAGAATGTCCCTGAACCTTAGGACACAAATGGTAATGCATGGGGCCCCTCCTCAGATTTCTTTCATCTCATGCTAATGCACACTGGTAGCCAGCAGTACTGCAAAAGTGCAGTCATTGCCAGTGCCACTATGCATGATACTGGGTCATGGTCTTTTGGTAGCAGGTTATAATTGAGGATACCAAACAATAGAAACACATAAAATTATTGAACACGTTGGAATTTGGTGCTAGAACGTCTCAGCAAACCTGGAGGGCGCTTCGGCGGCATCGCGGCACTGGTTACTCTTAAAGGAAAAGGCATCAGATGGGCTCGAGGTAGCTCGAGCCGAGCTGAGTTCCCATCACCTTGAGCTGCCGGATTTGGTATGGCTTCGAGCCGAGCTGAGTTTCACCTCGATTTAGCTCCAGCTCGCGGCATCACTACCACCAACTCTGACTCCATCACCAAAAACCCTGGAGATTTGTGATGCGTCTAGAAGCCGATTATGATCGCATATAATCGGCATAATCGGTCCATAATCGACATAATCCTATTGTGAACGGGCATAATCAGTTGTAAGGGGGACCGACACTTTATGCCCCTGTTATGATGTAGTTGTGATTAGAGCGCAAGGAGAGGCAATCGATTGTAAGCAATGAATTCGATTTCCTGGTTTACATTCGATTGTGCAGTTTGCAATCGTATTCTGAGCTCATTTGAGGCCGCTTTTCATCACACAATATTCAAAATAAACAAATCATCAATTTCAAGGAGCACATAGTACATGACACTGGGCACACACTATCGTTTACTGGCCCTGTAAATTCCAAGTAAATTCCAGGTATTTTTTACATTTTCTGATCATTTACTTGTCATTTACTGGCCTGGTAAATGGCCGGCTTTTGTATCATTTTCTGACCTTTTTCATGACATTTACTGACCTGGTAAAGGATACAAAAGCTCATCATTTTCTCATCAATTACCTAACTTTTTCTGAGCCAGAAAATGTTGAATTTCCCCATTCAGTAAATGTGAAGCTTTCCTGATGGCAGACCTTCTAAAAAAGGAAATAAATTGAGGTCATCTGATAGTTAGGATTTCATTGATGTGCTTCTTGGGTTGCAATGAGATTCATTTCCTAACTTGGGTTCTTAGTTTTCCAATCTAGGTTATGATTCTCAGAGGCTCAAACCTATCTATTTCAGCAGGCAATTCATATCTTAGTGTTGCAATTTGTATGATCTAGCCCAAATCTAGCCCTTGATCCTTCAGATTTGAACAGATATCCAGTTCAACTATTGTCTATGGTAGTAGTAATCTAGCCTGATACAAGCTATATTAGGGAATGACATCTCTCTTCAACTTGGGGGCTTGGTTAAACTTTTGTGCTGATATCAAAGGAGTGTTCAGTTGCTGGAGAAAAGAAAGGATAACATTAACATAAAAATATTGCTGTGAAAAGCAAGGAACTTGAAGAACCATTCAAGAGATTCAAAGCAATTTCTTATGCCAATTTCTCTGAGTCAGGTCACATGAGCCCATGGAAAATGTATGGACCCATGTGACCTCATAACAAGGAGTGTTGGAACAAGATAACAAACCTATACATATAAATAGATAAAGTCAATTTCTCAACTATGATGTCCTATATTTCACACCTCCTTTGATGCAGAATCATTATTTCTTTGCACAAAAATAAGGAAAAAAAAATAACTACATACACTTGATTATGGATCTAACTGTTGTATTTTACACTTGCAGCCTTATTGCTCAGTGATGTGAAAGGTGTTACTATATTCTGAAGCCCCTATTCCACACTTCAAGGGGAGATGTTGGTTGGAAATGATTAAACAACGTAATACAGAATCAGACCAGAGGCACAGATATATACTCAGACTGGAATGCATCTTTGTTGGTTGTTTGCTGAAACTGGTTAGACACTCATGTCTTGCACTTTCTTTTTTGGTGAGGTCTCCCGTTCGAACCTCGCAGCCTGTAATTCTTTTATTCATACTGTGTCTCAATTCAATATATCTTGAATAGAAATCATCATCTTTAACAAGTGGTATCCTCAAAGAACAGAACTATTACTGATCTATTTTCCTATGCAACTGAGCAATGGTTGGGCACTTGAATTCCAGCTACATATTTGTTACTACTTAGCAGTTACAGCATGGATTTTTCTGATTATTCCTCAGGCCTGCATGCAAGGAAGAGCTGTACAATCTGCGGCACACATCTGCACGTAATGTTGTCAAGCACATTTTTGATGTTGTCAAAAAGCGCTGGGCCATCCTCTACGAAGCGCGGGAAGTATCCGGTTCAAATTCAAATCATAGCAGGCTCCTGTGTTCGATTACCTGTGGTGGCATTTTCTTTAGGTACTATGTATCATTGAACGAGCGATTCAAAATCTAGTCCAGTACAAGACTGAGACCCAATTAAACATTAAACACTACTATACAGTGTCGGCAACTGTAACCATAACCGCAGTATCTAATCCAACATCTACATCTGCTGTTCTAAGAGCTTCCACTTTCTCAACCATCAGTTTGAAAACTGCCCACCCATTTTGTAAAGTGAGCACTGGGGATCCCATATTCTCGTGAATCACGTCCATATTGAATTTGAACTCATCTGACACAAAACGATATGCCCGCTCCTTAGTGTCAAGAACCGTTCCCGGCGGACCGATAAGGAAAGTCGGCGGAGTAAAGCGGGGCCGGTGACAACGGGCCCGTACGGGAGCCGTACTCGGTGAAAGGGAAAAGGTAGAGGGCTATGGCTTCAGCTCGTGCGCTGCGCCCTTCTCTACGCCCAGTGCCCAAATTTCAGGATAGAGTCGAAGACAGAATGCGGAGATGAACGGAGTCCGCAAGAGAATGAGAGTAAGGCAAGTCTAAGTCGATATTCAAACTGAAGTCTAACTACCGACATGAGAGCTATTTATAGGAAAGTATAAAGACATATGGAGAAGTCGGATTAGACGGAGGACCGAGTCCTCCGTGATGTATGAGTAAGTATCAGTCAGATGTACGTCGGAGAAGTCGGAGGTCCGACGTGTCCGTGATAGAAGCGTGTCAGAGCATAGCATAAGGCATAGGTATAAACCGAAGGCAGTACAAACCAAAAGGAGAACAAGAAGTCGGAATGGACCGGGGCCGGGGAAGTCCGTGTGTGGCTGTTCGTCGGAGATGATCGGATCCGAGAGGTCCGATGGCACGGCCCGTGACAGTATCCCCCTCTTAGCGCCGAACCCATGAGGCGCTAAAGAGTGAGAATTCCTGCCTAAGCCGGATGATCCGAAAATCCCGTGTGAACGGACTCCGATCAGCTATATATGTCCACGTGATGGGAATGTGAAAAAATCAACAACTCTCTCTCATACCACCACCATCTCCACAACCCGAAACCCCCCGCTCCGCCAACTTCACATCCCGAAACCCCCTGCTCCGCATTACTCCGCTCCGATGTCTCAACGTCGCGTCGCTACCATCAAAAAGGACGAGGACTCCGAGCAGTGGCGCCAGAAGCTGCTCAACGCCACCGAGTCCGAGGTCATCGCCCACTTCGGCTACGCCGACATTACAGAGTGGTACACGGTGCAGACAGCGGAGGACGAGCGGAAGGCCGAGGAGGCGAAGAAAGAGCGACTCCGCCTGGAGAAGCTGAAGGAGGACGAGCGGCTCCGCAAGGAGAAAGAAAAGGAGGATGAGCGGCTCCGTAAGGAGAAGGAGAAGGAGGATAGGAAGCGGAAAGCGACGGAGGCCGCCAACAAGGAGGGCAGCAGCCAGGGAGCTGCAAACCGCAAAGGCAAGCAGGTTGCAGAGGGAGAGAAAACGGGCAAGAAGCGCAGAGGCGGCTCCGTCGGCGCCGAGGATGAGAGGGACGCCAAGCGGGTGAAAGTGGACGAGGAGAGGGTGCATCGCAGTCCGTCGGATCCGGCGTAAATTATTAACTTTACACACAGTGCGCAAATTGTATCAAGGCCCACGAGGAGAAGTGCGTGGTCGAGTACGGCAAAAAGTCGTGCTCGTACTGCGTACGCCGCAAGATTGGCTGCGATCGCGCAGCTGGCGGGTCCGTCGGGCCCGCCATCGATCCGGAATTGCTCCAAGCCGGAGTCGAGGCCCAGGAGTCCACGGCGGCACTGCTCCGTTCCATGGGGCACCGCCAGCATCGAATGGAGGCGTCGCTGATCGACCTGGAGGAGAGCGTGGACGACGTCCGTACGGAGCTCCAGCA